ACTCTCGTGCATCTTTGACGTTAATCAAGTATTGCAACTATGTACTTAATGTCAATCAATCGACAGGGTGCGTCGACTAGGATCAAAAACCAACATAAATTTAGTTGATTTTAGTTAAATCTAAATCGTTGACGAAACGCTGCAGTTTCACGTTCAAAAATCAACTAACAAATGAATGACAAAAAAATATAAATTATTTAATAATTCTGCTGCACCTAAAAATATATGAAAATAATGATCGAGGTAAAAAGATCTATGTCTGCGCTGAAATTAAAACGTAATGCGTGCTGAAGTCAATCTTCTTGACTTTTCTGATTGCATTCTTAAAGAACTTCGGATGAGATCATTACTAATTTTTTTTAAGTAAAGTAATTCTTTAATGAGTAATACAATAGATGTGACTTTAATTAAAAACGCTTTTACAGTGTAAATCGGTTACAGTATAAATGATTTCATTAAGCAGTAGCGTTACTCGTGTATGCATTAAACTGAAATAAAACGTGACGTCGAGGACCGTATGATCTTGTGTGACGATAATTACCAGTGTTTTAGTCGAGTTGATCGAACGGCAGTCCGTCCTTGAATATTCAAATCGTACCTATACACAGAAACGGAAACCGTATTTTTCCATTTAGACTAAACGCCGTGTACGTGATCGTTTGTCCGAGACTTGTAAATGGGATTCGACGGGAAATCGGCGAAAAGCAGCCGAAATGAACAATACCAGAATAGAACGTCGCCGCTGACACTGACGCCACAACACGTTTTCCGTCTGAAGATAATTCGTAGGAATCCGTAAAAAAATCGGTGGCAGTTTTTTTACCGCATGTCGTTTTTCAAATATTTAGGAATGTGGGAGACTGTAATAAAATAATAATAGTATTACCCGTAAGTAAATTAGCCGCTTATCCAGGCCATCCGGAACGTGATGGCCAGGAATGTGCGCATGGGCGAAGGTCGCGTTCGTCTAATGCAGTCGGGTTAGCCGGACCTTACCTTGGCGTTCCTCAGTATCGCGACCGTGAAAATTATTTATACAAGACACCACGAAAAGCATTGCCGAATTACGGAAATCGTCATCATTCCTTAAAGTCGGATTGCGGAACTACTAAGCGTGATATCTTAGGAATTTTTCGTCGTTTTTTATTTTCCTTCAAATTATATAAAAATCAAACAACAGTGTCATAATCTCATTGCGTCGAGCTATTGTAAAACATTTGGGACAGAAAGCAATAGTAGTAACGACTTTCAAAACTTTAACGTACTGTAGTTGCACATAAAACAACTGACTAATTAGAAGCATTACCTATCGAAAGAACTTACTATTGTTAAGACTTAATAATATCTTTACCATTTACTTTGGGACATAATCCGAATAACTTATGATGAATGTTAAACAAATGGATTCAAATGATTTTACCAGTTTGCTAATCTTCGTTTCTGAAAAGTTTAACATTCACTGAACCATGCGAATGAAGGGATGAGGTTGAATTGTTTTAACAATGCAACCTTTATCCCCCTGGTACTCTCTTCTTGTGGCCTTTAGCGAGAACGTGTTAAACCTTTCAGCCTCCGGTACTGAGAGAATTAATATAGATTTTTCACTCGTCCTATCTCTCCATCTCTACTCCTCTAGCAGCATAAACGCTTGGTAAATCCCTTCGTATTTTGGCAGTGTATGCTTGGCTTAATCCTTTCGACTTATCTTTTTTCATTCAGCTTGCGATTTTTTCTCCGTCTCTCTTTATGCATCCTACAAGTACTTTTTTCCTATTTCTTTTTTTAATCCTCTTTTCACAGCGAATCTGTTGCCCATTACATTTAGTTCCTAGGCACACACGCGCGTATATGTATATGGGATCAACGAATCGTTAGGATCAAAGTACTTAACGACTACTTCACCGCTCATTCAGCACAGTTAGAATAAGCTCTATGTAGCTTTAAATGATACCCCTTTCTTATGGTTTTCTGTCTTATGCATTTTAATAGTCATTATATAGTACAGTAAAAAAATCTTCAACATTTTAACGTATTTTTTAATTCAATTTTGAATTTGTTTTCCCCTGCTTGTAAGATACTATAAAACTACTTTTATAATTTGTAAACTATTTACACAGTGTCTTTAAACTAACTAATAAAATAACGCTTATAAAAAATAATAATCATAATGCGTTAATAAAAAATGTCATATATATTATAATCTAAAAAAAACACGTGAAAAATCACGATGCCTCATTTAAACTTTTTTTGTGGCACAATTTATAATTATTAACAATATTTTAGTTGTGACTTTTTTAAATTTTATTAAACTAAAATATATTTTTACTTCTAAATTTAAATATACGGAATCATAAACCACTCAAATATTCTCAACAAAAATAATATAGAAAAAAAAATTGATTTCTTATAGTTATATATATTCCTTGATTTACAGTTAATAATTACTTTTTAGAATCATTCCTTATGACTTATGACCCAAATTTATTATGTTTAATGGCAACATACATTTTTAACTAGCTTATAAAATAGAAAATAAACTAATTAAGAAAATGACTAGTCGATATCAACTTTTGGACCAGTATTTTGGAAGTTACTAACAATTCAATGTATTGACTGGTGGTGAAGAGTGAGCTATATTATTTTTATAACTAAACATTTTTCGCCCGTATTGTTCCTTTCCCCTAGATATAAATATGTCAACAACTTCTAAAATGTTGGTCTAAAGTCGCTATCGACCCGTTTTTAATTAGATTTAAAAAATAAGCTAGTTTATAATTTTCCGTGCTTTTTGTCTCGTCTAGGTACAAAAATGAGAATAACTTTAAAAGTTGTTATCGACTAGTCATTTTCTTAATTAAATTATTTTCTATTTTATAAGCTAGTTAAATATGTTTGTTTCCATTTAAAAAAATGAAAGTTGATATCCATTTAAGTTATAAGGAATGATTCTAAGTAGTAATTATTAATTGATAAATCAAAAACTATGTGTAACTAAAAGATATTAACATTTTTTTTAGTATTTTATTTATTTATTTTGTATAATTATCAATCATTAATTTATAACATTTAAATAATATTATATTTAATTATTTATCGACAAAATTATTAAGTCAATTTATATACACCAAATAACTGTGACAATATATTCACTTTTACGCTTATTTACTTTTTCTTAAATAAAAATATTATTGTGAATTATACCATCACGAAAAGAGCTGTTAAGAAATGTTATACTCTTTTAACTTTCGATCGAATAAAAAATATGGTAGTTCTTTGATAAAAACCTATCATTGCAATTCTCTTTTTAAAAAACTCATCCCACACTGACTACATTACATTTGTAACTTATACATTACGCGCCGGATTCGCGCGTTTCCGGTGGCAAACCTCACTGGCATTTAACACAATGCTCTCAATGCCTTAGTTAGAGATGTGGTTTCTTTTTAAAAGCATAAAGAACAGCAGTCACACAAATCAATATAAGAGATAACAGTTTCACACGATATAGCTACGCGACAGTAGTTATTAAATCTGTTAAAAAATTTTCTTCTTAAACGTAGATAAGGTGGTGTTTCCATTCCCCTTCCATTCATTTGAATATTATTTTTTCCCTTTCGTCCCTATCCACCCTTTCCTCTTTTTAACTCGCACAACAAATACTGTAACTTCTGTTTTTCATTTCCGTTTTATTTCTCCGCTAACTCACGTCCAAAAGCAGAACCACACGCCCGGGCAATACCAATCCGGTTATTTGTATACAAGCGCCAACAAAGACTGAAAACGGTTTCTGATAAGAGCTTATTATTGTCATCAGCCGAAAGAGAAAAACAGCTTTAGCTAATAATGGAAAATGCTTTGAGTAGGTACATCTCTATAAAGAGACCCGCCACCCCAACAGTCAGATAGACACGTACGATATACTACACCGAAACCCTGTGTATTGTTTATCGGGCTGTCAACTTTTGGTTTTGAAAAGTTTTTCCAAAGTGTCATCTTCTCCGTTTTAGCGGAAAATCCGGGAGCGAGGCTTATTCAAACGGTATAGAATAAATATTGTATTAAACGCCGGATGACGATGACGACTTTATCTCAGGAAAACGCTTCGGTAAGTGAAACGTCACTTGAACCCTTCGTTAGGCGACTTCTGAAGAAACTCAATTCCAATTTTATACTCGATAAAGCTTTATACACAAGCATTAAATCATTTTACAATGATTTAATCGAACATGCATGTTTACATCACAATTCCTAAATTTTACGTGTATTTATTTGTATAAAACGTAATCATTTGCACTACATTGTAGTAATTGTAACTTCCATAGCCGTTTCAAAAATAATTCAAATAATATAAAACTGATAATATAAATGAAACATACATAAATGTTATTAGTTTATCAACATTCAACACAAAATGTATTTTTGACAAATACATAAAATATTTTATTACAAGCTGTAATTATTTTGTAAACAAAAAAAAAAAAAACACAAAATGTATCGACAGTATAATCATAAAATGTACTCAGCATGGTCTGTAAACAATTGTACATCTTCAAAATTACTTGTATATTACATATAGTAAAAAAAACAATCTTGATAAGAGTTAAATACTTTCATGAAATATTAACTCTGAAATTTGACGAGTGAGTGGCAGCTTTCTTCACATTAATTATATTTTGTATTAAAATTTGAAAAAAAATACTGTTCATATTTTGGTATTTAAATAATTTTGCAAAATAAGAGAAAAAAATTATATCTTCAATTTTATAAGTTTAATACGATTAAAATACGTTTTCCATAACAAAGATTTCAAAATATATGTATAAATTAAAATGAAAATTATACTAAAAATATTAATTAAACACTAAACAATTTAAAACGATATTTTAAATATTTTAGTATTTATTATTTTAATTTAAAAAAATATTAGCCACGAATGTTCAATTATTATTATATGTATTTTAAAAAAAATTATTAAGTTCAATCATTAATTTTTGTTTTAGCAAAATCTATTCCGGTACATTGTGTAGTAGAGTCTATAAATCATGTATACCAATGGAGTCAAAAATATTATTCTACAGTTAATCGTTCAAAAGGACATGTCGAATTAGATAGATTTGTCATTATTCCCAATAACACTGCATTTAGAGATCTAACCGAAGCTGCGTTAATAAGACTTGGATATTCTAAAGATATTGCAGCTGCTTCAAAAGGACTAGTTGTATTAAAAAACTGGTTACCGCTAGAATTAGATTCAATCGCTGAGGATCCTGTATTGACTGTCAGTGACGTTTTAGGAGAACTAACTACTTTAGCTACTCTTAGAATACTAGTATTCAGGTAAGTAATTACACACGAAGGGAGACCGGGATAGTTGAAACAAACGTCTACAGTATTCAATTTTTATAATTCTTAGATCATTAGGCACACCACAATTAATATTAAAAATCTTTTCAACTAATCAGTTTCCTTTTTATGTGTAATACGAACAAATGAAAATTAATGTTTAACTACATTTTTTAGAGAGTCGAAAAATAGATTTACGGATTTGAAAGAAAAACTACTCAAGTTGCTTTTAGTTCAAAGTCAAACACAATTAGCTTCTTCAGGATGTCCACTCGATGAAGCCATAATATTACAAATGATGAAAGTAGGACAAGCCTGTCCAGATATACCAGAGGATTTGTACAAAAAATTCGAACAATGGTGGATAATGCAATCTTCTTCCGTAATCCCTAAAATTCAACAATCGGTATTATCACAATCGGTCAGAGATTTATTTTATCGTAACGGCTCATCTCCAAGACAAACAAACCTCCAGGATAATCTTTCGGATTGCATTATATCTAAGAATGAAAATAAGCCACTAGGACTTCAGGTATACCTTTGTAAAAATACTATTTTTCATTAAACAATGACGAATAGAAATAAAAATAATTGCATTGACACCACATCATATTTTTTTCAGTCTGTAACTCACAATCAGTTTCAAGCACAGAAAACTCGTATGCGAACAAGTTTCGACACAGAACTAGAACTTCCTAAGTTACAAGCATGGTTTGCAGAAAACCCTCATCCCAGTAGACAACAAGTAAGTGTACATAATAAAATTCTCCATTAAACATTTGTCAATAATTTAATAATTTTCTTTTGTACATAAACAGATTCATCAATATGTAAGTGAACTTAATAATTTAGAATCGCGAAAAGGCCGTAAGCCGCTAGATGTGAATAATGTTGTGTATTGGTTTAAAAATGCCAGAGCAGCACAAAAACGCGCTGAAGTGCGTAGTACGGGACCTAGTAAGTCTGTTTTCTTTATTCTAATTTGTATTTGTATCATGATCGTATGCTAAAATTTTTTCTTCGAAATGAATTTAGGCGCTAACGAAACAAATCCGTCGAATAACGATTGCAGTGTGAATGGTTACTGCAAAAGTAGAAGTCCGAGTGAACATGGTGGAAAATCATACAGCGGCCAAGGTTCAGTAAGTGATGCCGAAAATGATGATGATGACGAATTCGAAGAGAGTCGAGATGAAGAAGACGTAAAACCTATGAGCCCCCCCTCAGAACAGCCAATATCTCTAACTACACATGGAAGATTCAGTAATGGAGATATAGAATCCCCTCGTTCGCAATCTCGCAATTCTCAACTCAGCTCTGAACATAAGGTACATTTATACTTTTATTTAGTAATATTTTATTTTCTAGTAGCAATGACATTTTACGAATTCAAATTTAATATTTTACTTTCAATGACGACCTTCTAATTAACTGATTTAATGAAATCAGTAAAAAAATATCTGTCAAACGAACTTGATATTTTCTTAACTCACATAATAAGTGACTATAGTTTTTTTTTAAACATAAAATGATATTATAGAATATTAGATTATATATGAATCATCCAGTTGCAAGATGACGTATGTCAGTATGCATTTAGCGTTGATAAAATGGTAACATTGTTCCCGAAATACGTATCCGCGATTTTTAGTAATTTTTGTGACACAGAGCTAAATGATTTTTAGTTTTAAATAAGCGTTTTTAAATACATACATAAAATTTTTAATTAAAAGAAAAATTTTTTTGAACATGCTTTGTTCTTTTACTTTTCTATTATTTTTGTGGTAATAATATATTACATAATATATTATAATATAATATATATTATTATTATATACAGAGTGGCCCACCACTCACTGACAACTTAAATAACTTTTGATCCAGTTAATATTTTTAGTTGATTTTTTTTTTAAATAATATTTATACGTTAGGTCTATAGCTATATCTCAATAATTAATTTTTTTACATTTTATTAAAAATATTAATTATTTTAAAATTTTAAATAAAATGTAAAAAAAAAATCTAAGATAGCTATTTTGTAGAGTAGAATTTAAGAAAAATTTTAGTAAAAAAATATCTTATTAATATTCAGTAGTAAATATTCTGTAGCGTTTTGAAGTTTGTAAAAATTTGAATTTTCATGTACTATTTTACGGTTATAAACATTGAAATACGTATTGAGAAAAGGACAGAAGAAAACGCTATCTTTTCATGATTACTGTGTATACATATGATGATAGTGTGTATACATTACAAACTTGGCATAAATACCATGATAAGAAATTAGATAAGGCAATTATTACTTATCACTCTCATTCAAAAGTATATTGAAAAGATAGCGTTTTCTTCTGTCCTTTTCTCAATACGTATTTCAATGTTTAATACCGTAAAATAGTACATGAAAATTCAAATTTTCACAAACTTCAAAACGCTACAGAATATTTACTACTGAATATTAATAAGATATTTTTTTACTAAAATTTTTCTTAAATTCTACTCTACAAAATAGCTATCTTAGATTTTTTTTTTACATTTTATTTAAAATTTAAAAATAATTAATATTTTTAATAAAATGTAAAAAAATTAATTATTGAGATATAGCTATAGACCTAACGTATAACTATTATTTTAAAAAAAAATCAACTAAAAATATTAACTGGATCAAAAGTTATTTAAGTTGTCAGTGAGTGGTGGGCCACCCTGTATATATATATATATAGACAATTTTTTTAATTTATTCTCAGAAAACTTTCTTAGTGCGTATTCTACTTTATTTTATATTTATTTATTTATCTAGTTCATATTTATTTTATTGTGTATACAATAAAAAATAAGTTTATAAATTAAGAAAACAGTGGTGGATAGATTCGTTGAAAATTTTCTGTGGGTCACTGTTTGTCTTTATAATATAATATAAACACAATACAGTATAAACTATTTATTAGAGTTCTAAATGAACATTAATTTTGAGACTCAGTCCAACAATACACAATATAAAGCCTGATCCGCCCGTTCCATTTACAAATTCACAAATTTTGTCCCATTCCAAGCCATCAGTGGCATATTTAAAAGTTCATCGGTGGGGGATTGGATTTAGTGATGATAAATTTCTTTTTTTTTACTCGTCACTTATATTTGGACTCTAGTAAGTATAGTAAATGTATGTGATAATTGTTATCACAAATTTTTCATTTTAACATATAAATGATAAATCAATATTTGATGACCACAAATGATTTAATTGAGAACATAAAACATAAATACATTCTGCCAAATAATTTAGATCACAGCATGTTCAGGATGTTGATCACCCCCAACGCTCCACCTGACCTTCAATCAACATAATTAAGCCCAAGCGATCAGGTTTTTTATACCAGGTCAATCGGATTATTCGAGCAACGAATCCAACATTCTAAATACCATTTGTTTAACAATTTATATTACATTTCTTAATTTTTGAGCGGGATAAATTTTAAGTTATCAGAACATACCTCCCTAAAAGATTGGTTTGATAAAAGTAACACTCAAGAGTAATAAATAAAATATTTCAAATTGAGTTTTGAAACTGTTTTTTATAATGATAATTTATCATTATTACTTTTTAACAATATTTAACGTCACGAAAACAATTTTAAGTGTCATCAATTTTTAGCTTCGACGCGAAACTACGAAGGTATTGGCTTTGTGATAGTGTGATATTTTGTGTCGGTCCGTGAAAATTTATATTGGATTGATTTAATGATCAATACGTCAAAAGAACCTGATATTAATTTAGTTGCACCTGTCGTCACCAAAAATCGAAAAAACATTTAATTTAGGAATTCAGAAAAATATCTCAAAATAGTGCTACTTTCAAAAAATATATATAATTTTAAAACTCACACAACAATTTTTATAAAAAAAAATGATTCCAATAAAATTCTATTGATATGCTTTTTGTGAAAATCATTTTTTTTTTCATTCTATTAATTGCATTTATAAAGGTAATGGTAATCAAAGAGGAGCCGCCAGATAAAGAAAAAACAACTGGACTAAATAATAATAATTATGATGACGAAGAAGATTTCGATGAGGACATGGAAGATGACGGGTCGGACGCAGAAAGTTGTAAACAAGAAACATCGAGCCCGGACCAACTATCCATTAGACACTCGGTTACCCCGACAATGTTTCACGGTACACCAGCTGATTTAAATCAATCAATTGTTCGACCAGGTTTCCCGATTGTACCCAACTCAATGTTTAACCACAGTTTTATGTATATGAGCCAGTGTTTACCTGGTTTTAACATGGGACGGCGACCTCAATCCGATACTCCTCCACCACAATCGCAGCAATCACAGGTTTGATAAAAACATTTTTATTCTGATTACATTTTACTTAGCACATGTTTGTTATTTCTTTAAATAAAAAAATCTAGAACTCTATGAGTAGATTTATAGCTAGATAATTACGCGTTGTTGCTCGTTTAAATAGACACTCGAAGGAATAACTAGGGAAAATAATCTCCTTGTAAATGCAAGAGTCGTATTTATAATGAATAAAAATTTGCGTGTTTTGTTTATTTGGAGAAGCTGCAAATTAACAAAAGGTTTAGAAGTCTTCTTGAACATGGTTCTAATAATGTTTATCAGGAACCCAAACACTAGAAATTATTTTACCAAAAACACCTAAATATAAATTGTTGATCATATACAAAAGTTCACAATATTTTGACAAATCTAATAACTTTTGCTTTACTTCTAGTTTAATAATTTATGCATTTTAAGACTACGTTAAAATAATATTTTTATTACTAATAAAAAATCATTTTTTTTTATTTAAAAAATAAAATTAGGTATGTGCCATGGGTGGGTACAGTTTGTACTGATGTATGTTTATACTCCTATCGCACTACAGATACACTCCATGTATTAAAATGCTTAAAACTTAGTTAATACTCATTTAATACTATTATTGGCCAATCAGAATTTCTATAAAAAAAACCGTTACTTTTGATTTAAAAATTAAAATATATTTTTGATTTTTAAAAAATAATATAAAGTATTCATTTAATGTATATATTGTTATAATTCAAAATATTTCGTTATAAATTATTCTATTTATTATAATTAGTGATTATTTCATTTGTCAAAACATCATGGACTATTCTGTATAAATAAATAAATATAGAGCAAAATAAGAACTTTTATTAGAAATTTTCCAATATTTGTAATGAGAATAATTAGTATTTTTTTTTTTTTTTTTTTTGATTAATGAAAATCATAACTTGTAAATTTTATGTTTATTCGTGTGTAAACATTTAAAACGTAAAATTAAATTCAAAATACTTCATCAAGAAAAAGCTTTAATAAATATTGTAAATTAAATAGTATTTCATTAAATTTCTAAAAGCCTGACCGTTACATTTTGACAAACTAAAAGTAAAGCAAGATATAAAATAAAAAAGCAAGAAAGATTGATCTAGGATAACAATCTAAGAAATTAAAGCATTATAACTTTGAATTTCTTATGATTAAAGAAGTTATATTTCCTTTGGAAATTCTTATTGTACAATTGAAGTTTATAACAGGTAGCTAATCGATAAGTACTGATTTATTGTTATTGAACACACTACTCATTAAGCCATCCGAATTCCAACATTAATATTATATTATTAATGTTTTAATAATACTTTATATTAATATTTGAAACATACAATAAAAAGTTCAAGCAAATACGTAATAATAAATTTAAAATTTAAAGTCTACTCAACATTCGATTATGCAATTCTAATTAAAATTTAACTAACCATCTATCGATCTTAATGTTTTTATTGTTTCTTTTTATTTTATTAATTTTTTTTAACGCAAAATCACACATTTCGAGTGTAAAATTATTTATTTGACATGAAAAATGAACAATCTTAGCGTATACCGTTAATTGTAATTGATCACCACAAAATGCTCGTAATAATTTTTTTTATTGATGTGTGTTAACAGATATCGTCAGCTGCTAATGTCGCCGGCCTTAATTTGTCAGCGTTGGCCGAAGAGCGTCGGAAACGAAATCGAACATTTATCGACCCGGTCAGTGAAGTTCCAAGACTTGAACAATGGTTTGAGCACAATACTCATCCATCGCACAGCCTAATTGCTAAATATACTGACGAATTAAACCGTATGCCATATCGGCAAAAGTTTCCCAGGCTCGAGTCAAAGAACGTACAATTTTGGTTCAAAAACCGCCGAGCCAAATGTAAAAGGCTAAAAATGTCTTTGTACGATGCTATATCGCCAAAAGATCAGTTCACTATGCCCACTTACCTCAGCCATGACTAGATACATTTTCGAGGGCGCCACATAACTCAAGAACTTCAAAATGAACACGTTTGCAAAACTGAAGTAACGCGTCCTTAATAGATATTTATTGCTGCACCTGTCAACTCTTCTTTATTCCATCTTCTAACATCATCTACCACGGCTGTGTATTACTCGGTTATTTTTGAAAATTATCTCCTCTTCTAGATACTACACTAGTCAAGAACGGTTTGTATTTCCTGTCTACACATTTGTAGAACTCATTTCTTTTCCTGTCGTCAAAAAAACTTGTTAAAAAAAATTGTAAATTTTGACGCAATTGTTTTCAGTATTGTTTTATTTTAAGAAAACTATTTACATGTTACATGTTGATTTTTATTATCACTAATATACTTAGTTTGAACACATAAGCGATTATGCAACATTGAAAGTCTAATTAATATGAATGGTTAAGGAAAAATAATAGATTATAATAAGTATGTTATTTTGATTTTGGTTAATTAACTAAGCGTTCTAATTCGTACACTACATTCATTAAACAATAAATTGGACTTTTATGATCTCTTGCTTTGATTATTTTATTTGTTTTTTTTTAGTTTGTTATTGTTTGTTTTTGTTGTTTAATTATTTTAAAATTACATCATCATCGCTATATCTGTTTTATATAATTTCTTAGTGCACATTTTAAGACCTTATTAGAGTAAGGTCTATTAATTTAACTTTAAGCGATATAGTATAGGGCATTCATCTACATCATCGAAACCAAAGATTTATTTTATTTTTTTTTATTACTATTTAAAAAACTGTTTTGAACAAATACTGTATAGTTAAGTTCTGTATTATTTAATATGTCAAATATAAAAAAAAAACTACATTTATATAGTACTAAGTTAGCTTTTGAATAGTTGTTTAGGGTTTTGTTGGATAAGCGTTTAAGCGTTGTTTTTATTTTAATTTAAGTTGTTTTTACTAGATTGAAAATAAATAAAATAACCTAATTATCATTAATTTTTTTTAAATACCTAATTGTATAATTTTTCCAAGTTCATCAAATACAAGGTATTTCGACGGGAAACAATGTAGTGTTTTTATTTTTAATTATCCTATATTGCTTTTACTCCATACAGTATTGATATATAAGTAACAGATACTTTTTGGGGTAAGATAAAATGACAATGTTTTATGAATAATGTTATAAGAATTCAATACTGATTTAAATAAGTTTTTGCAAGCTATATTTCCCGCCGTGTATTTTTAATTCTGAAGAGCTTAAGAAATAAAAATTAGCTTAGTACAAGGGAAAATGGTGACTATAACAAACGTAATTTAAAACATAATCCATAATTTAAACAATGTTATTTTAAATGTTTATAAATAAAGATTTAAAATTGTATTTAAAAAAGTCAACGTTTGTAGAGTGGTACAAGCTTCTTATTTTTATTTTAAAGAAATCTTAGCAAAACAAAACGTGGTTTAGAGTAAAAGATTGAAGGATTTGATATAGTCTTATAAAAACATCGAACGGACGTGGATATTTGATTAACATTTTTATTATTTTAATTTTATACTGTTGAAACAACATCTCCCTCGGTAAACTCTAAATAAGATATTGAATACTTCAAGATTGTAATTAGTTTTATAAAATAAATAAAATTTTATTTATGAGATTCAAATTTTAACTATAACTTCTCAATCTACTGAATTGAGTAAGTGTTCTAGTAGGAATTCAATGAGGTATGTTTTATAGTATTTTTAATCGAATAATTAAAATTAAAAGCATCACATCCACAATTAAATTTAGACATAATAAATTAATTGAAAAATATTTATTATATAATATGTTGTGGGTACTACTAAGAACAATTTCTTCTTTGATCAAAGTTGTTATATTTTTTTTTAGAAAATACTTACTGAATAACGAAAACATCATACTAAATAAAAACAAATTATTATTAAAATAATTAATAAGTTATAAGTTAAAAAATGAATTGGTCAATATTTCTTCACCTCTATGAAAAGGATTGTTTTCAAATATTTTTCATTTTCCAGATTGTCTTCAGAAAAATAATAATCATATATATTAATGAAAAAACACATTTTATTGCATATTCCCACAAAATAACCGCTTTTTCATTAATAATCGAAAATTCATCTAACAAAAAATAAAATTCAAATAATAAATATAAAAAATATAGGTTGTTTAAAAATTAAAAAACTTCAGAATAATAGTAAAAATGTTAGTTACGAGAATTTTTGTTTGAAGGGACATAATACACGTATATCCATTGAAGCAAATAAGTTTTTCCAATTACACCATTCGGCTAGCTCTTAATTTGCATTAAATTTTGAAAAGTTTTAATAAATATTTTTTCATAAATAGATGAAAAAAACACAATTCTAAGAGAATTTACAATAATGTCAAATTTTAATGAATTTAAAAGGTATAAAAATAAATTAATACATTTCAAAGTTAAAAAAAGCCAATTAAAATTTCAGGCGTAACAATACTACATAATATGTGTTAAAGTTAAACTGTTGCCATCTCCAAATATTTAAATAAAACTGAGTTAATGAATTGAATTTCATTTCAAATTAAAAAAAAAATTGTGAAGAACCTATACCCTTTTTTATACACTTTCTTAGTATAAGCAGGATGATTGTTTTATCATTGACCACATAATTAATGGAAAAATAAAAATAATATTAACAATTTTTTTTTTGTTTCGGTTTCTTTTAGTTACATATTTTTCTTATTTTATCAGACATGGAAAATTTTTATGTTCATTTCTTATACTATACAAAAGTGTCAACATTATTTTATAAAGTAGCAACATGCATAATTAACACTTTAATAGAAAATGAACCACTAAGGAAATAACTGGTCGTTGATAACTTTTGAATTAGTAGTTCTTGAGTTATGAATATTTTTATAACTGGGTGAGAGAATTATATTATTATTATTTTTATTTTTCGACTAATTAAGTTGTTAATGATAAATGAACCACTCTATATATGGAAAAATTATCGACTATAATTATAGAATATTGACTAGCTGGGACTCTAGTAAGGCTTTAATAATAACATACTTTAATAATTAACTTGGACGTTAATTGTGAACTGTTATCTAATATTAAGCCTACAAAGTTAATGCAGTCATAAGAATGAATTACAAAAACAGTAAGTATGTGTTAATTGCTATAATAGTTATAAAAATCTTCTTTTCGCAAAAAAAAACCTATATTAATAACTCAACTAAGATCTACTCACAAGGTGTTTCTTAAGTTTAGATNAGTCATAAGAATGAATTACAAAAACAGTAAGTATGTGTTAATTGCTATAATAGTTATAAAAATCTTCTTTTCGCAAAAAAAAAACCTATATTAATAACTCAACTAAGATCTACTCACAAGGTGTTTCTTAAGTTTAGATAAACTTTATCAAAAGTTTACTATGTATAAACTTGATTATTAACGGTTGAACTAGAATTTTGTTCCAACGATAGAATACAAAGTAAGCTTTTATAAATCTTCGTTTTAAACGCACATTTTCTGTTTGCTTTTAACACTAAGATGTTTTATTTAACAATTAAATGTTTTAGACGTTTGAATGGCTGGCTCCAACTCTCGAAACTAGTTTAATGGTAAGTTTAAATAAGTATTTTGAAAATCCGCTATTTACTTGACAGTCAGTTATAAGAATCAAGGCTGGTCTAGTTAACACGTTTTTTTGACTTGTTATTAGATTATATTTAGAAACAGAACGTGTTTTTCTATCAACTATAACATAATTGATACAAAAACACTATTTTAAAAATAATTGATATATTATAAAAATGATTTTAAAAGTACAACTAGAATTTCACCGTTCTATTGTTTATTATTTTTTAAGGTAGTGTGACTAGTTTCAAACATGAAATTATTCATCAGGTAATAATGAAGGCAACTGGAGTATGAAACGTACTTAGCTAAAAGCATTATATTCTACATTGCCCACGTGTCTCTGTGCTGCTATTCACCGACAAAAGTAAAAATTTTGGGAAGACAATAGAAAACGGGTTTAGTATAAGCTTTTTTCGGTCGCAGTTCATTCGAGAGATAATATACTTAAGATACACTGTTTTAAGCGTAACGTTGATGCGGATTAATTTTGTCGAAGAAATACATTGTTAAACGAACAAACTCTGGTACTTGAGGGTTGCACGGGGGTAAGGAGCAAGAGGTAAGGTAATAATAGTCTTATGAGACGGCGGCGTTCGGTGTGTAAAACCGCAATTTTGTTGTTATTATAATCGGGTCGTGAGAAATATCCGCAGCCTGTCGCAGTCGGATAGAAAGACACGCGAGCCGCGTATATCAAGAGAGCACGCCGACAATCCTTCCCTACACCGTTTTGGCCGCCATAAAAGAGCCGGGCGAGGAAGGGTAGTGGTAAATAAACCGTGATGAAATACTTGAGGAGACAAGTTCGTCGAGTGTAAACGGCGGCGAAGGTTTAAAAGTTCCCGTTTAAAATCGACTTGAACGCAAAGTTCACAGCTCGGCTTTATTGTTTATCTCCGTAGCGCCGTTGTTAATGCCAACGCGCGGATTTCACCTTTTGTATCGCTGGGCTCGTTCGCGCGTTATGTTCAACCCGGCGATATTTCTCTTCGCGACCCCGAAAACCTGTAGCCACCAACCTCTTCTACCCCTACCACCCAGCACGTCCGATATCTACAGCAGAAACCAAATTCAATATTTATCACCGTGTATGATGTTTCTTTTACACATTTATTTCGTTTCCAATCACACCGCGCCAGTCGTATGAAACAACTCGCGGTACTTACGAGGGTAGGAAAACGCTGTACGCGTATTTATAGTAAGGGTGCGCAATTCATTCGTATTATATATTTAATTGTCAATCTTCAATTGTTGTTATATTAACAAATATACCGATTTCAATACATTAACCGTTTTATATTTTTTTAATTATATTGTCATTTAAATTATTATTAACAAATATTTTAATAAACAGGAATTTTCAATTATTAACAGTCCAGGGTCTTTATTCCTTTCCCTTGAGTTGGTAAACTGAAATCCATATTAAAAAAGGATGTTATACGAAAATGAAAATAAATTAATCAAATATTTTAACAAAGCAAGATTTATCAATCACAATAACTCCATTTTAAGTTTTCACTTTTATAATTTCTTGAATTTTCATCTTCTTTTAAGCTCGACTTGTTTATACGACAAGTGCCCGTTTTTAATCTGTGTCGCCAATAATTCTACGATGTTAAGCCAACAATGTGTTTTTGTAACTTATGAATATTGTAGAAAATAATAATTCCAATTATTTTTTTTCGAATAAAACTTATATTTCACATTTGTTAGAAAACCTTTTAACATTGAGTTTTTCATTTTGTAAATAATTGCAATATTTATTCAAACAGTTAGAGACACGCCTTAAGAACTTATTAAAAATGTTATTTGACGCGAATAATGACGAGTCAAAACGCATAGACTGAAAATGTCTAACATCTTTTTATTTGTTTAACGATTTATAAAGGCGAACGAGATAGACACAAAGAAAAGTATATACCGACAATGCTCTTTTGAATTAATGACTGGCGAGCATTCTTAAATTATATTAAATGGCTACTAAAAAGTGACAAAATAATTTTGGAGAAACGCGATACAAGAGCAAATATAAAGCTCTTTACCGGAGTAGCAAAAATATAGTATATATTATTATATTTATTATTATATTTATATATAATGTAAACTCCGACAGTATCTTCTCTGGGAACCGGCTGCGACGGCGGCAGCAGTAGAAAGCTCGCAAATAATAATAATAATATAAAGCGCGAGAAAGCTATAATTCAACCGGCAGCCAACATTAAGATTACTAATCTTTAATCCTCGGGTACCACCACACTCCTACCGTCTCCCGTTGCATATCACCTACACCGCCAACTCGTTGGACTAGCACCGCCGCCGCCGACCGTGTCCCTGTACCACGCACGAGGTGCTACCGTCCGTCCCGCCCAAAGTTAAGATTTACGGGCCCGAAGGCATTATACGAG